GGAACTAGAAAGGCAAGAGAGAAACCAGTCAAATAATTGGGATAAGGAAAGCGCATCTTCCACTTATGCTCAGATGCAAGACTTTGTTGCCCAACAAGGAAAAAGAAAGAAAAAATACATTGGGGAAAGTGTAAAACTATTCAGAGACAAAGTAGATGTAAATGAACACTACTCAACCCAAACCAAAGGAGAAGATTATATATGCAGAGACAATGGAAAACATTCCAATTGGACTTTCACTCTTTCTCCTAAAAATGGGTCTCTTACATCTCATAAAAGGATCCACACAGAAGAGAAGCCATATAAATGCATGGAGTGTGGAAAAAGCTTCTGTCATAGTGGTTCCCTTACTTACCATAACAGCATCCACACAGGGGAGAAACCATATAAATGCGTGGAATGTGGAAGGAGCTTTAGTAATAGCAGTCAACTTACTTCCCATAAAAGGATCCACACAGGAGAGAAACCATATAAATGCATGGAGTGTGGAAAGAGCTTTACAAATAGCAGTGAGCTTACTTCCCATAAAAGGATCCACACAGGAGAGAAACCATATAAATGCATGGAGTGTGGAAAGAGCTTTACAAATAGCAGTGAGCTTACTTCCCATAAAAGGATCCACACAGGAGAGAAACCATATAAATGCATGGAGTGTGGAAAGAGCTTTACAAATAGCAGTGAGCTTACTTCCCATAAAAGGATCCACACAGGAGAGAAACCATATAAATGCTTGGAGTGTGGAAAGACCTTTATTCAGAGTGGTCAACTTACTTCCCATAAAAGGATCCACACAGGCGAGAAACCATATAAATGCTTGGAGTGTGAAAAGAGTTTTCCTCATAGTAGTCAACTTACTTCCCACAAAAGGATCCACACAGGGGAGAAGCCATATAAATGCACTGAGTGTGGAAAGCATTTCAGCCAACATAGTACACTTACTACCCATAAAAGGATCCACACAGGGGAGAAGCCATATAAATGCACTGAGTGTGGAAAGCATTTCAGCCAACATAGTACACTTACTACCCATAAAAGGATCCACACAGGGGAGAAGCCATATAAATGCACTGAGTGTGGAAAGCATTTCAGCCAACATAGTACACTTACTACCCATAAAAGGATCCACACAGGGGAGAAGCCATATAAATGCACTGAGTGTGGAAAGCATTTCAGCCAACATAGTACACTTACTACCCATAAAAGGATCCACACAGGGGAGAAGCCATATAAATGCACTGAGTGTGGAAAGCATTTCAGCCAACATAGTACACTTACTACCCATAAAAGGATCCACACAGGGGAGAAGCCATATAAATGCACTGAGTGTGGAAAGCATTTCAGCCAACATAGTACACTTACTACCCATAAAAGGATCCACACAGGGGAGAAGCCATATAAATGCACTGAGTGTGGAAAGCATTTCAGCCAACATAGTACACTTACTACCCATAAAAGGATCCACACAGGGGAGAAGCCATATAAATGCACTGAGTGTGGAAAGCATTTCAGCCAACAAAGTACACTTACTTCTCATAAAAGGATCCACACAGGAGAGAATCCATATAAATGCATGGAATGTGGAAAGGGCTTCAGCCAGCACAGAAATCTTACTTCCCATAAAAGGATCCACACAGGAGAGAAGCCGTATGTGTGCAGAGAGTGTGGAAAGAGCTTCAGTCATAGTAATTCCCTTACCTATCATAAAAGAATCCACACAGGGGAGAAACCATATAAGTGCATGGAGTGTGGGAAGAACTTTGCTAATAGCAGTGAGCTTACTACCCATAAAAGGATCCACACAGGGGAGAAGCCATATAAATGCTTGGAGTGTGGAAAGCACTTCAGCCAACATAGTATATTTACTTCCCATAAAAGGATCCACACAGGGGAGAAGCCATATAAATGCTTGGAGTGTGGAAAGACCTTTACTCAGAAGGGTACTCTTACTTCCCATAAAAGGATCCACACAGGGGAGAAACCATATAAATGCATGGAATGTGGAAAGGGCTTCTGCGAAAATGGGTCACTTACTGTTCATAAAAGGATCCACACAGGGGAGAAGCCATATAAATGCATGGAGTGTGGAAAGCACTTTAGCCAACATAGTACACTTACTTCCCATAAAAGAATCCACATAGGAGAGAATCCAAATAAATATGTGGAATGTGGAAAGAGCTTCAGCAGGTGTAATGACCTAATTTCCCATACACAGATTCATTTGGGTGAGAAACCATGTAAATTCTAGATTTAGTTGGTTAAATCTATGCATTTCCTTTTTATACTTAAAACCCACACTAACCAAGTTCTCCATTACGAAAGTAACAACCCAACCTCCCATAAGAGGAGCTGTGTAAGAACATTATTCAGATGAGTGCAAATCACACTGCAGCAACCCAGAACAACAGAAAAAGGAAACAGACCACCTATACAACATCTTCCAACAAAATGGATAACCCACCCAACTTTATCAAAAAGTGCCAGGCCACTCAATCCACTGCAGCACAACCAACACAAGCTATGAAAAGGATAACACTGCCATACATCAAAAACATCTCAGAAACAACCAACAGGCTATTACAACAACATGGCATCACCGTAGCACACAAACCAACTAAAGCCCTCCAAAACATCTTAAGTAAACCAAAGGACCCAGTAGCCCAAGAAGAAAAAACAGGAGTCATCTACAACACGTAAGGACTGTAACAGCCACTACTGTATGTAGGACAGAGAGGCAGAGCACATCCATGAACACCAACTAGCAGTCAGAAGACATGATGAAAACTCCTTAATC